ATTGCATATTAGTGTGTAATTTATATAAGAACTATACTGTGAAAGTTTGTTCACCAGGTTTTTTATTTTTAGACCTCACATATAACTGACTCAGAAATGTTGCTGGACGAAGGCCCATCTGATGAAAAGGGGCACACTGAAGAGAAACTGCCACTAGTTTCAAGAAAGAAAGCACATTTTGGGAGTTCAGACAATGTTGCTACTATCCCAAATGAAGAACGATCTGACAGTGGTTTTCCAAACTCTGTGATAGCTGAATTTTCTGAGGAATCAATCTCTGAAAATTTATCACCCAACACTACTTCTTCATTGGAAGACCAGGGTGACGAGGGGGTACCTGAGCCCCAGGAAACGTCTACAGCTCTTTCTCAGAGCTCTTTGATAGAAGTTGAACTTGAAGATGTGCCATTTTCACAGAACGCGGGACAGAAGAACCAGTCAGAGGAGCAGTCTGAAGCATCTTCTGAGCAACTGGATCAGTTTACACAGTCAACAGAAAAAACTGTGGATAGCAGCTCAGAGGAAATAGAAGTGGAAGTGCCTGTGGTAGACAGGCGGAATTTAAGAAGAAAGGCCAAAGGGCATAAAGGACCTGCTAAGAAGAAAGCCAAGCTGACATGAATGAAGAAGATACACAGATGATAAATCCTCTTTGTAACATTATTGTTGTTTTTAAAATATGGTGATTAATAAATGGCATGGGGCACAGGGCAAAAATTGCAAAATTTCACTTTGAACTTATTTATGATGCCGGTTTTCCGTCCCCCTTAGGACCTAGGATTCACCATTCTTTTTAATTTTTCAGGCTATTTTGTGTAAATACAATTTTTTTTATTTTTATTAAACCATGTTTCGACTTTGGGAAACCAGATCATACTATATTTTCTTTAGCAATTGGGGACATCTGACCATTAAAATTTTAGAAAATATAAATTAAACTGAAAGTAGTAGGCTTTACATTACTTGTAAGGATCACAGAAATCTTTTATACTATGGATTTTAATAGTAAACTTGGTGAGGGTTCTAGAAGTTTTATCTTAAAAATCAAAACTAATCATTTTTTAAAATGTAGGCATGTCTAAACAAAAATGTCAGTAAATGAAAATATACTTCAACTAAATGAGAGCACAAATAGAAATTTATGGTGAAAGGTTTATGAAGATAGTATTTTGGCCTCTTAATTCTTAGTTGTGTAGATGCAGTCTCTTCCTTGGACTTCAGTGTCTGAGGAAAGGTATAAAATCTGTTTCCACCTCAGTCTTTATAACATCTAATATTTACAGTACTGCTAGGGATTTAACTCTGGCATGTAGGCACTAATTATAAAATATCATTTGAAACTGGGGACTATTCGTTTTGTCCTCATCCAATTAACATGTATACTTAAGAAGTGTGAGAACCCTTCCTAAGGCTTCTCCTCAATCCTGTCACTGCCTTTACTCTAGAAATCAGATATTCTCCTTAGCTTTCATCCACTTCCCTAACTCAGAGTGATTCCTGCCAAAAGATCTGCTGCCTGTCTGCCAGCTTATGCCCTTGGCATCCGTATCTGGGTAGGTTTGGACTGTGCCCCACAATCTTAGATCTAGACGGCAGGAATAAATCTGCTCAAGGAGCTATATAGTTCAAAGAGCTTAGCTCAAATTGGAGGCTTTGGTTGTTGCTCTGGTCTTGCTCACTTGTTCTGTGAGGACAGGTTACAAGCTAGCCTATGTGTATACATTGTGGTACTAGGCCTTTGCCTAGGAAAACTTAAATTCTCTTGTTAATTTTTATATAGTAATTTATTTAAAAATGAACAAAATGGTTATTCTTAGAATCCAAAGAGAATCTTAAAACAGTCCTACTCTTTGGAAGTATTGTGTGTACTCAGATTTGCAGTTAATTTGGAGAATCCTTTGAGACCATTAAGATTGTTTTTAAAACAGCTTGGTCCGTATAATGAAAGAACCACGTTATGACTTTGTGTCATTATTTGAGGTGCTAAGGATTGATGTCAAAGGTTTATCCAGTCTACAGTCAGGTGATGTCATTAAATTTTATTTTGGAATGTTGATATTTTAGGTCTAATAAGCTAAGTTAAAATGTTTAAGCAGGCAAAACAGCAAACCCTCCTATTCATGTAAAATTTTGAATACTTGTATCCCCTACATTTTCCTTAATTATTGGTCAGAGGCAAGCCAGATGATTTCACTCCAAATGAAATTTAAAGCACTTTGGCCATTTGTTTTCTCAACAAATGCTGATTAATTGAAAAAATAAATATGACTGGTACATCTATCACATTTATGCTGTTTTATAGATTTTGTGAGAAACTTTACTATCACAATTAGGGAAATAAAGATATGAGGATTTAGTAAATTCTTAACCTTTCCATTTTTAATTTAAAATAGATTTAAAAACCTAATACTTAGATATTTTACTTTTTTACTTGGATTGTTCACTGTTCTCTTGAGAATACTTTCTTTAAAAGGGTGTAGTTTAAGACTGAGGTCACTGACAACTCTTGATATGTGAATATAGTTGCTGAGTTCACAAAACATGTTTAGTTATTCATATATAATAGGACTAACAGTATAAACTCGTAATTGTTAAACTTCTTTGGTTTATTCTTAAAACAGCAAGAGCATTTTAAGCAGTTTCAGAACTTTATGCTTAGCATACAAGAAAACTTTTATTACGTATTATCTCTGACCGAAAATGTTATTTTGGGGGTTTGTAGATGGTAGAGAAAGCTAGGTAACATAGAAAAACCTTACTTTCATGTTCAGTAACACGTTCATGTTCAGTAATGAGTTCTGTACTCAATGAGTATAGAATTTATAACAAAACTTATCCTCAATAAGGAATCTAAATAAAACTAATCAGATACTTAGTTTTTTGCAAGGCATTAGAAAAACTTGAGAATTATAGAGGACTGAAATCGGATTTCAGCCAGCCAGTCTAGTTATGAGTGTCTAGTCACATTCTATAGTCCTTTGTGAACTGCTTTTTTCTGTTTAGAAGTTTTATTTCTGGAAAAGGATTTCACTTCAGTTTGTGTAAATATGTGTATATTTCCTTGTGTAATATAAAACAGATATTAACAAAATTTTAGTTCTTTCAAGTTTAAATTATCCAATTGCTAGACATCACAGAAATATATTTAACAATTTATTATAAAGCTCCTCTAAACTTTTAAAGGTGAGAGGATCTATTATGATTTTTTATAAAATCAAATAGCATGACAGAATTGTCAGTCTTCTACTTAAAATGTCTATATTCACTGTGTTTCCATTCACTGCAAAGAATAAATATGGCAAGGATAACACTAGTGGTTAATGGTTCACTTTTAGCTGACCAGAACACTACCTAAAATTGTTTCAGTGACTTTAGAAAGTATCTTGAAGGTTTATGATTACATCAAATTGAGTCTTTACCTAGTATCTAAATATCTGCTCTTATGTACTGCTTTACCCTTAGGGATTACCTTCTAAGGTTTGGTCACACCAGCAAACTGATACAGATCTTGATGTAAATACAGAATTTATACTAACATTACTCATCTGTGTAACAGCATTTTAGAAATTTCTGCTTTGTATGTCCACTAGTAGCTAATCTGGTGTTTAAAGTCCAGTCTTTCATGGATGTGATTAGTTACAAATGTTATGCTTCTGTTGGCATACTTAATATAAAGCTTTCTTTGTAGAAGATACTTAATTTGCTTATTTTGGGTTCTAAAAAATAAGCAGACTGAGTTCTGTGGGATTATGCTTACCTCTATTTTTTTTTCACCTTCCAAATCTTAGTCATTCACACATTCCCCATTTCTATTAGTGGCAAAATCAGTTGTTAAAATATAATTGTAAGAAAGGTTCAGCTTCCTGTCATCCTGAAGTAATTGTATCATACTGGATAGTCATTCCCAAGGAACTAGCCTTTCTTAAGTATGTATGTGTTCTAAAACTTCTAGGTTTATAGAACTTAGAAAAGATGTTACGTTATTCAGAATAAAGTCTTACTGAGGTACTCAAGTTTGTTTTCTTGGTAGGTTTTTTTTCCTTTTTTTAAGTTTAAAAAGTATGTTTTGTGATTGTTTCTTGGCCTGTGTTTTGATATTCTTTCCCTTTTCCCTACTTTGACGAAGATGTGTTTAGATATTGAATTTGTTTAGACATTAAATGATTTTGTTAAAGGCACAATTAATCACATTGGTTGTACTTTCAAGACAGACTTTAAAAATAAACAATTTAAAACCATTAATGTGATTATAGATTAATGTAATACTATGGACGCCTTAAAGCTCAAAGCTACAAACATAATTCAAATCAAAAAAGTACTTTGACCAAGTTAAAAGCCTAAAACATGACCTTTTTTATATTATCCAAGTAACTGCAAACAAATTTCTCTTTAAGGGCATCAGTGCATTCTTTTTCTTTTTAATAAAACAATTTTACCTGGAATTACTTAAATTTGTAACCATCCTAAAAATATGAAAGCACAAACATTTTGGTGTATTTTTCTCTATATATGTTTGGAGTAAAAATACAGTTCCAAGTAAGTATTACTATACATGATTGAGAGGAAAAAAATGTTTAAAGTATGAATTCACCAACTTACTGTATGTGAAGACATAAAGGTGAAAAGATTTATCTAAATCCTTCTGAACTCTATAGTGTAGTGTGCCTTCTCTCTTCTGTACTTCTAGTAGAGTATAAATACTTTATATAAACAAATGCTATCATGTGTTAATGCGACATTTCTTAGGATTAATGAAAATGAGGTGGAAGAAACTTCCAGGTAAGGTCTCATTTCGTAGTTTAGGCTCTATATTTAAGTGTGCACAGACCTTTATGATAAAAGGTGTTTTCAACTACACTGGTTTTTCCAGTAACAATAGGTCTGCATTGCTGAGTATCCACTAAATGCAGATATGGACCAAGATATTTCTATAATTGCTTTTTAAAATTATTCAAACTTATGAACATCCAAATGCTAAAAAGACTCAAAAATAAAGACCATTTATTTTAATAAATGTCTATTTTAATGTTTTTCACAACAGAATAAATACTTCTCTTGATGACTGCAGATACGTAAGGCTATTTGGTAGTATTCAGAACCACCACAGTAATGGTGGTCTTCCTGATCGGTGTGTAATCTTAAGTAATTATAAGGAGTTACTTCTCTGAAACTGCTGTCAAACCAGCAGGACTGCATTTATGCATCCATCATTTTCAGGGTTGTTGGTAACCTGGGCATATTTGCCTGAGGAAAACAAAATGGGAAAAGGAGGGATGTTAATGCTGATAAAAATTAACTTTGCCCAAAATATTTCTAATCATCACTTTTAAGAAAGAAAAAAAGATAAATGATAGTAGGATCAATGAGATTTTAGAAATCACTCAAAATCAAATGAGTTCTGGAAACAATTTTTATATACTGTTTTAATACTTTTTACAATTGGTGGTCAGCTCCATTCTGTTACTAGGTTGTATTTAACAAGCCTTTGTGGATTGACCTGAGCATTGTTGCTTGTCCACATACTTAACTAGAAAATGCAACAAGTTTTAATTTTCAAATTAATTTAACCTATTTTATTTTAAGATTTTTTATTTATTTGACAGAGAAAGACACAGTGAGAGAGGGAACAGAAGCAGGGGGAGTGGGAGAGGGAGAAGCAGGCTTCCCGCGGAGCAGGGAGCCCGATGCGGGGCTCGATCCCAGGACCCTGGGATCATGACCTGAGCCGAAGGCAGACGCTTAACGTCTGAGCCACCCAGGCGCCCCTAACCTATTTTAAATGAGTTCAGCCAATATGAAGTATGAGTTAATGACTCGTATGAAGACTCAATCAAGAAGTTAGAGTGTATTCTTCAATTTTAGAGAACATTAAAGTTTAGAAATACCTGATCACTAAAAGCAGAAAACTAAGAAAACGAAGAATTAAAATTGCTGCATGACACCTTTTATTTTTAATTACTACTGAAACTGTGTGGCTATGTGTTTGATAGGTCTCCCTTCCTCTGCTCATGGTTAATTTATTGTATTTTCTTTCAGTATATTTTGATTATAACTCACTTCCCATCTGCTTCCCTCCTAATTAGTGCCTTTATTTTTTTAGATTTTTTTATTTATTTGACAGAGAGTGAGCGCGAGCACAAGCAGGGGAGTCGGGTAGGGAGAAGCAGGCTCCCCACCGAGCAGGGAGCCCGACGTGGGGCTCGATCCCAGGACCCCGGGATCTTGACCTGAGCCGAAGGCAGACACTTAACCAACTGAGCCACCCAGGTGCCCCCTAATTAATGCCTTTTAAAGCAGTCCTAAATTCTAATAATACAGTATACTTTGTATAACTGAAACCAGTAATCTAAGTTAAAAAGAATCACATTCACAACTACTTTGCAAAGATTTAAATCTGATTTACACCATTTTAACTTAATCTAGCTCTTCTGCATTAAAATTTGCTATGTACTTTTCTATCAACTTGCAAACTTCAATTTTAGGATTGTGTAGCAGCAGTAGTTAAAAATTTACTTACCCCAAATAACTTTGCCTCCTTGTGTCACAAGGCCCAGCTCACTCACGTTCACCTCAATTACAGTGCCTTTGGTAATAACACCCAAAGTTGTATATAGTGGGGATGAAGGATTCTTTTTTACACCAAGTATTGGCAGGCAAAAGGTGGCTTTCAATTCAGGATGTGTTACATGGGCCTTTTTGAAACGTAAGCCCTAGTAAGTCAAACACAAAAATGTTACGAGTCTAAAATGTTAAGAACGATGAGCAATGATCCTTTTTGCTTTTCCAATTGTCTTCCAAATCAACCCCATGGATGAACAATGTCAAAATCTTAAGGCATCAAATACTTCTAATTCTACAGACTAAAAACCTGATAAATGCGTGGGGGAAAAACCCCAAACACATATTCCTGATGTTTTCAGCACGGAGTGCTAACTTACCAACATACTCAAGATTTTCCTCTGTTACCTACATTTTCTGAGGACTGGCTGCATGCCAGGCACTATGATGGAGCATACAAATAGCTTATTTAAGCATGATAACTTTACAACTCCTCCCCCATTTTTTTAAATAAGACAAAGATTGGCAGGTGAAATGACTTGTTCCTGGGTTGAATGGTGTGTGGATGCAATTAAACTTAACTATCCTGATTCCAAGTCTCTATAGACCTCAGCTGTTTTACATGATGAAAAAGGAGGGTGGACTGTCAGCTTTTCATTGATGGTAAAACTGGTCAAAGACTGGAGAAAGCCCAGAGAGGGGCTTTCTCTGTTAGACTGGAGTCATCTCGTCACCTAGATACGGCCTTTTGGGGTGTAGCACTTCAGAAGCCACAACACTATACAGTCTCCTAAATTCGGTTTTTGCCTGTATGGGGGTAGACGGTAGTGATACTGAAGTTCTTAGTAATGGACTCAATGAATTTTGTAATAAACTTACACAGCTGGGGATGCCATCTGACTAATGCACAATGAGATTTACCTGCCAAGCTACGAAAGCCTAGAACAGCATGATTAGTATATTCTCTCCCTATAGAACTGTTACCAAACTGTATTTAGAAGATTATGAATATGAAATCAAAACAAGGGAGTCCATGATACAATCCAGAGATGGGTGAAGATTCTGTAAATGGACAGTGGACACTTGAGGTTTTGCAGGCCATATTGTCTCTCCTACAACTACTCAAAGTCTGTAGAAAAAACCAGCCATAGACAACACGTAAATGAAAGGGCATGGCTGTGTTCCAACAGAACTTCATTTACAGAAAAAGGCTACTTGACAACATTTTAATCCATTAAAAGTTATTCAGGTTGAGCACTAGGGTAACACTGCCAACTGTCCTCTGATTGCTTTTCCAAGCAGGCTGGATTTCCAGTGAGGAGAGCAATTCAGTCTGTTTAAAGGGATTGTGCAAAAAATACATAGCTGACCCTGTAACACAGGTTTGAACTGCACAGGTCCACTTACATGCAGATTTTTTCAATATAGTACAGTACTATATATTTATTTTCTTTTAGGATTTCCTTAACCTTTTCTCTCGCTTTAAGAATACAATATATAATACACATAACATACAAAATATGTATTAATTGACCGTTTATGTTATCAGTAAGGCTTCCAGGCAACAGTAGGTTATTAGTTTAGCTTTTGGGGAGTTAAAAGTTCAATGTGGATTTTTGGGCTGTGCAGGGGGTGGGCACCCCCCAACCCGAGCTGCTGAAGGGTCAACCAAATGTTCAGTTACATTTGGGAAAGGGGAGAATGGTTTTGACCATCCCGGTTGTCTATAGAAATTAAAGTTCTACTTTTATAGTAAATTCTTTTTTCAGTGAGTACATAATGTTTTTAAATGCAATAAGATAATTTTCTTACTAAATGGGAATTGCTTATCTCAAAGAGAACAAGTGTCAGGCATATAGGTTACTTGTTGAATGAGTAAGAGAACTTCATGTGGAAAACAAAGATTCTAATATGACATATTTTAAAAATCAGGATTCAGACACTGTAGTAAGAATTATTTTCATCTCCTGTCTCTTATGAGGCCAAAGACAAGATTCTTGACAGTGGTGAAAAACTGCTAAGCCATCTCTATCAATAACTAAAAAAAAAAAAAAAAAGCCTAAAAATGTCTTTCAATCTCTTTTCATACCAATTTTAGGAATTTCAGGAAATTGTACTCTCTATCCAATCTAACGTAGCAACTAACATTTAATCCATCCCACTTTTGCAAGGGACTTACCATTGGTCTAATGAATCTTTCATATTTAGGTGGTTTTCGAGTAAAGCCGTCTCCAACAAAGCAGACTTTAGTGACCATCCTCTTCCATGCTTTCTTCTTTCTCTTTCCTGTTCTAATAACTTTTAATACTTCTGTTTCTCCCTGGGCACGAACTTTGGGTAAAGGAACTTCCCATTTTCCCTAAAAATAGACCATAGTTAAAATTTATAATGTTTTAGTAAAAGGCAATGAGGATAAAAAATTTATGTTTTAGTTGTACAAAGTAGTGGATTCAACTTTTTCCTAAACCAACAAGATTTTGGCTCCCATGTTTTCTAGAAGTCTGCACCGTCTCCTCAAAAGCCCCAAATTAATTGGTACTTAAGTTTCTTATCATGGATACATTAAATAAAATGGTTTGTGGGGCACCTGGGTGGCTCAGGTCATGATCCCGGGATCCTGGGATCGAGCCCCACATCAGGCTCCCTGCTCAGCGGGGAGTCTGCTTCTCCCTCTCCATCTGCCTCTCCCCTTGCTCGTGCTCTCTCTCTGTCAAATAAGTAAAATCTTAAATAAATAAATAAGTAAAATGGTTTGCTTAAGCTAAAAACCTCAATGCCTTGTTATGGATGAAAAATGTTCCACCTCTAATAAGGCAGTGATTTCTTGCAACAGTGTATGTGCTTACTACTAAATAGTGAATAGTGTAAAAGTGGAAGACTGTCTCCACCTCTTAATTTATCTCTGTATCTACCTTGAGTGGACTTTTAGATTATGTTACTAGTGGGACAAAATCATCGTCACATATTTTGAACCTCTGCAGAATGAAAATTCTATGAAAAATTGAAGGAATACAAGGTAGTACAAAGCATGTGATTATTAAGACAGAATCTAGAAGCAATTCTACCACTCAATAGATAATGACAATGAAGAGTGATTTACAACCTCCTGAACTTCAGGCGTTTTATCTGTAAAATGAGGATGGGTTAAGTAGAATATCTCTAAAATTTCTTTGGGTGCTCAAGTTATACCATTCTAATTTTAAATAGTACACACCAAAATATAAGCAGTGTGGTTTGTTTTGTGTTTTTTAAAGATTTTATTTATTTGAGAGAGACACAGAGAGCGAGTGGGGGAGACGGAGAAGCAGACTCCCCACTGAGCAGGGAGCCCCCTGTGGGGCTTGATCCCAGAACCCTGGGATCATGACCTGAGCCGAAGGGAGACACTTAACCAACTGAGCCACCCAGGTGCCCCAAGCAGTGTTTTTTATTAAAGATTTTTTATTTATTTTTTGACTGAGAGAGACACAGCGAGAGAGGGAACACAAGCAGGGGGAGTGGGAGAGGGAGAAGCAGGCTCCCCGAAGAGCAGGGAGCCCAATGCGGGGCTAGAACCAGGACTCTGGGATCATGACCTGAGCCGAAGGCAGACGCTTAACGACTGAGCCACCCAGGTACCCTGGCAGTGTGTTTTTTAAAATCAAATTTGGAGACTGAACATTTCTGTTGCTATCTGGATTTCTGTCAACTTATCCATAGATGTTTAAAAATAGTATCTATGTCTATTTCTGTTTTTAGCAGGCTTTAACCTAATTTGACACCAAGCATAATCCAGTAGTATTAAAAAAAAAAAAAAGTTGAGTTTTTATTTAAGTCAGATGAGTTAGAGAGTTTTCCACTATTCTACTTTTTAGCAATTTTAGCAATACAGGGCAGCAAAAACAAGCAGTTGTATCTTTCTCCACAAGAGCAGAGCATTAGGAAGTGTCAAGTATAGGAAGCTGTTAAAATACTGAATTTGAGATTCATGCCTTACTAATTTTTTAAGTACTTTTTTTACACTAAAGATGTGTGGTATTCTAATAACTTTTTAAAAACCTGTTGAATGCTAACATGTTCTTATGATGAGAAAGTAAATGTTTTATTACTTAAATATTTAATACAAAATGAACTTTACAAAGACTTTGATATCTAAATAATGGGAAGAGTAGCTGGACTTCATGTTTCCAATTAAACTGAAGAAAAAGGCTAATATTAAGTAATTCTCCTGAACAAAAAAGAAATAAAGACTTCAATTTTTATTTCTTACCGCTTTCTCTTTTCGTTTTTGTTTAATCATATTGGAAAGTACTTTGGCTCGGGACTGTCCCTCTCTGTCCAGTAGATACGCAGGTACTGCTCCTTGTGGAGTCTTTTCATCGTTCTTTTGTTTGGTGTTTCTCTTTTCATGCATCTTGATACTACCAAGAAGGAAGAAGATTCAAGATTATCAGTTTTAAAAATTATCACTCAAAAGATGTTAACTTGTTACAATGAAGACATCACCACTTACGTCTTTTTCATTTGTATTTTCTCAGCATGGCGCTGTTTATGGTAGAGCTTAGCTTTCAGACCAATCATCTTTTTTGCCTTCTTTGAACGTTCATGAGCCTCTCGACCTTCTTTCTTTCTTTTTTTCTCATGGTAATCCAAACGATAGCCATATCGCTTCCGGTGTAACTCAATATATTCATTTTGTGGCTATAATGCAAGAATCATTAATTTTAAAAATTAACAGAATTATGCCAGAAAAAGTAGAGAAGACCTTATGTCATCCGAATGTTCACTTGCTTAAATAACTCTTGCGCTATTAAGCCTATTTTGCATGATATAAGTTGAATACATTTTGATCCTGAATGGTATGAAGCATCAGGATTTACATCTGTAATAATCTCAGTGAAATTTACTGTTCATTGAAGGGAACTGCCCAAAATCCACTGGACCACAAAAAGGATGACCTCATTCCAGGATCTCTCTTTTTTCCTGAACATCAGTAATCTGGTTTTTCAATATCATCATCATCATTATTCATACTTTTTATTAATCTAAGTTTTACTGAAGTACAGTTTACATATGAAATGTGCCCTTTTTAGGTATAAGCGTACAGTTTTATGTTGACAAACTACACAGTTTTGTAACCACCGCAATTAAGATAGAGAATACTTCCATCACCTCAGAAAATAACCTTGTATTGCTTTGAAGACAATCCTTTTTTCCACCTCCAATCTGTTATCTATCACTTTAGTTTTCCCTTTTTCATTGTGAAGAAGCTTATAGTATCTACAGTATGTAGCCTTTTGTGTCTAGCTTCTTTGACTTAACGCTTTCGAGATTCCCCCACGTGTCACATGTGTCAGTACTTCAATCCTTGTTATTGCCAAGTAGTATTCCATGTATGGATATACCACCATTCATCCTTTGACCGGTTCATGGATATTTGGGTTGGTTCCCATTTTTAGCAAATAAATACTGGCACAGAAGTCTTCTGTGTGGCCACATGCCAAACTGTTTTCACAAGTGGCTGTACTATTTTGCATTTTACCAGCAAGGTATGGGATCCCTTTTTACTTTTTCGGTACCTGTTTTTTATCTTATAGGCCACTTTTGTTTTATTTTAAACATGTGGCCACAGTCCATTTGTATTTTAAGACTGCAAAAATAAAATAATGATGCAAAGTCAACTCCAGCACAGAGAATAATGCCAAATAACAATCAACCAGGTACTATGTATCAGGTGTGGTGTTTTCAACTGATACAATAAACTTTGCAGAAACCATGAGGAAGGCATGTGGAATGCCATTTTGCAGAGAAAAAATTAGAGACATAGTAGAAAGAGAACGGATGTGGCAGTCAGATCTGTGCTTTAAGCCTGTCTCCGCAATTCTTCAGCTGCTTGGCCCGTGGCCGGGCCTGCCTTCAGTTTCCTCAGCAATAAAACGAAGTGGCAGCGGAAATAATGCCTACAGTATAGGGTTATTGCTAGGCTCTGGCACTGGCAATACACAGCACGTGGCTAAGCCAGGAATTTAACAGAGTGAACCCTATCTCGCTCTAAAGCTTGTAGTCTGGCAAATACCCCAATCTGTGTCCACTAAGTGCATTTTTTTTTTTTTCTCTCAACCGAGCCGACCCTCATTCCCTTCAGCAGTACCTCCCTTCCGCCTACCACCCCTCGCCTCCAGCCCCAGGGCCCCCAGGCCCCACCAGCTCTGAAGCCCTACGATGAGAGTGCCCCCAAACTACCTCCTCACCATGGTGACGGCCGCAGAGCCGTCGGGTGCAGCTGCCTGGGAGCCAAGAAGCTCTCAATTTTCGGGTCTGCTAGACCCGCGAACTGACGCCACGCAAACCGCGACGGGAAGGAGAGTCCTAAAACGACCGACTCTGGAGAAAGCGCGACACATCGGTTCCGAACCTCTGTTCTTCACGTTTAGCTGGAGGGGCGGAAATTGCTGGCGGGCGGCATTTGAGTGTTGCACCGCCGGAAGTGGCGAAGTGCGGCGGCGGGAGGAGGTGGGTGAGAAGGGACCAAGTTCCTTCCCGGAGTTACCAGGGCGTTCGCCGAGGTAGTGTGTCGTGACGGGAGGACTTGCGGACTTTGGCGCAGCCTGCACCTGCTGCTCTCAACACCCGGCAGGAAAAAGCCGGCCTCCAGTATGCGACCTAGTGCCAGGTGGGTACCGGACCGCGCGGTGCGACTGCCTAGTGCCTGTGACCCTGCGGCGCGCCGAGCACCGTGCCCCCTTTAGGGAGGCAACAGCCAGCCACAGAGGAGGACGAAAGGGCCTCCCGAAGGCCTTAATCATCTTCCTAAGTCTTAGTTCGTGGAGTTGAGGCACTAAGGTGGGTTTGGGGTTTGAGGTTTTTCAAGGCTCCATCTTCTAATGTGATTTATTTTCTTTAAAACCCTATTGCTACCCAGCATTTTCAGGTGCAGTAAATTACGTAATCTCTCTTCCTAGAATACGCTTCCCCCAGGTTTTGCTTCCTACACCTACTTGACGTCTTTAACTGTCATTTAAATGTCACTTGCTTAATTGACTTTGCTAACAGTTACTGCCCAGTTCCCCTTTCCTGCGTAATTCTTCTCTACAGCACGTGTCACCGTAGGAGATGCTAAGTATTTTATTTATTCCTTTTGTTTATTATCTGTCTAGTGACCAGGATAGAGACGGTATGAGTGCAAGGATGTCTTTTGCTCACTACGTTTAACCCATTTACTAGGAGGCAGTGGTAGACACAGTAACAATAAATTCTTGTGGAGTAAATGAACTTCATTCTCATACTGATCCGGTAATGTGATAGATGGAAAGAAAGGTTCAGAGATTTTAAGTGATTTATCCAAGATCACAGAAGACTTGGGACTCCATCAAGTCTTCTGGAAGCTACTCAGGTCTTTGCCCACTTGACATTTCTATTACAATGAGAAGTTTATGGAAAGATTTAAAAAGACTTTTTATTGAAGTGTAAGATACACGCAAACAATGCATATTGTAGATAGATGCTTCAGTGGGTTTTCAAACTCTGACCACACCTAGTAAGCAGCACCTGAATCAGGAAATTACATTAACCTGCACCCCAGAAGCCTGCCTTAGGCCTCTTTCCAGGCACTGCCACTCTCGAGTGTAAATACTATCCTGACTTGTAACAGGATGGATTAGTTTTGCCCGTTTTATACTTTATATAATTGGAATCATACAGTGTGAACTCTTTTGTGTTGGTTTCTTTTGGATAACATTGTGAGATTCATCCTTATTGTTTCCTGTTGTAGTTCTTCCAGCTTATGGAAATTTTTAGTAGGTTTAAGTTGTGAACTCATCAGTATGTTTTTTCATTTATGATTCTCAAAGCCACTCATGCCCTTTTTGCCTTCTGAACCAGGAATAGAAAAAAAAAAAAAATAAGTTCTTAAAGGTTAAGTAGTGGTCACATTTTGATTTGTGTAAAATAGAGGAGGCAAAGTGGTTGGCTAAGTTGTTTATCATTTGTTCTTACTTTCAGCTATGATTGCAGGCTAAAAATGGCCTAAGCAGTTCAATGTCAGCAAAACTTTTTTTTTTTTTTTTTAAAGATTTTATTTTTTTATTTGAGAGAGAGAGTGAGAGAGAGAAAGAGCACAAGAGGGGGGAGCGGGAGAGGGAGAAGCAGACTCCCTGCCGAGCAGGGAGCCCGATGAGGGACTCGATCCCGGGACTCCAGGATCATGACCTGAGCCGAAGGCAGTCGCTTAACCAACTGAGCCACCCAGGCACCCTCAGCAAAACTTTCTTAGAAAAATTTACTTCCTATATACCTGGCAGTAGCCAAGTTGGATATCATCACTTCTTTGTTATTTAACTACCAAAAGGATATAGTAGATACCCACTTTTGGCATTTTGGCAGTGAGAAGCATGAAAATGCATTTCTCTAATTGGATGAAACTTTAGATAGTATTTATTGCTATCGGTGAGATTATAAGTGAGAAGTCAGGAGGATGTGAGAGCTGCTTTATAAATTGACCGTGTATGGTTAAAAAGTCAAGCTTATTTACATTAAAGAAGAGGAACAGGTGTAGTAAGAGTTTTGTAAGACAAAGTATGATTGAAATGTTTGCTAGAGAAATATGCAGGAGACAGGCTAGAATTTTTAAAGCTAACATTTTTCTTGAGGTTGGGGATCATGTGCTATTCACTTTTATATTTCTAATAACCAACTTCTTGTGTTGCTCCAATAAATGTTAAATGAACAAGGGAATTGGAAAGTGCTTTATCAGTATAGTTGACCTAAATGTAAAAGTATCTTTAACTACTTAGGCTGTTTTTTAGCAAGTAAAAGTTAATTTGGTAAACTTTTTTCTTGAATGAAGTTAAAGGCTAGAACTGATTTTTTAAATTTAGATTAAATTTACATAACTTCAGGGCGCCTGGGTGGCTCAGTCGTTAAGCGTCTGCCTTCAGCTCAGGTCATGATCCCAGGGTTCTGGGATCCAGCCCCTTATCGGGCTCCCTGCTCAGCGGGAAGCCTGCTTCTCCCTCTCCCACTCCCCCTGCTTGTGTTCCCTCTCTCGCTGTCTCTCTCTCTCTCTTGAAAAATAAATAAAATCTTAAAAAAAAAAAATTTACATAACTTCAGATGATTTTAGAACTTGTGCTAGAAATAAATTTTGTAGGAAAAACAAGTGTTTAGATTGATAGCATGAGATGATCTATTGAACATAGAAAAAAATCAAAGATGATTTTAGGGATTGACAATAATAAACATATTGGCCTAATTCATACGTGATATTTTTCTAAAAAACACTGGCTATGACACAAATGTGAAATGAAGTTTCTAATTTGGGAGAAATTACTAAGTACAGTAACAAATACCGTCTGCAAACACAGAACAACTTGATGCTTTAGGATTTCCTTTCGTATATTACTTGATTCTCAGTAACATCACCTTCAATTTTGCTTGCATAGTGGTGTATTTTATGATTTTTTTTTTTTTAAGATTTTATTTATTTGACAGAGAATGAGAGAACAGTCAGGGGGAGTGACAGGCTGAGCAGAGAGCCCAACGTGGGGGGTTGATCCTAGGACCCTGGGATTGTGAAGGCAGACGCCTAGACGACTGAGCCACCCAGGTGCCCCGTGATTGTTCTTTAGTGGTCCATGATTTCTCTCTCTCTCTTTTTTTTTAAGATTTTATTTATTTGAGAGACAGAGAGTGAGCAAGAGCATGAGCAGGAGGAGGGGCAGAGGAAGAGGGAGAAGCAGACTCCCCGCTGAGCAGGGAGCCCAATGAAGGGCTTGATCCCAGGACCCCTGAGATCATGACCTGAGCCAAAGGCAGATGCTTAACCGACTGAGCCACCCAGGTGGCCCCATGATTTCTCTTTTTGTGTATTAGGCCTTACAGGCATGATACTCTACTGATTTTAAAAAATTAATAATCCATGGATTCTTTTTGTTTATTGGTAGTGTAACTTTTTGTCAATAATGTAGAATGGGTATTTACCCATTTTTCTTCCTCATTAATGCTCTTGTACCATTAGGTATTAGAACATTTAGTGAACACTTTATTCTCCAAGGCCTTAAGGAGGTTTGGGCCTTAGAGAATAACTCACTTGATAGCACCTGCAGTAGGCAACCATTTTTGTTGAAAATCATTGATCCATGGGAAAGAAGAAAATCCTTCATCACTGGAGGATCCTAATCAACTTAATAGGTAAAAAAATGAAGCATTGTGCTGGGCAGTGCTGGTAGAAGATCCCTCCTTTTTGGAGAACTCACAGTAATGGAGAGAGTTTGTATTTGTTTGAATATTTGAATACCGTATTTGTCATGAGTAAATACAAGTTCCAAGTGTTATGGAAACATACGGAAGACAGTATTAAAATTTTCTAGGAAATTAGGAAAAGCTTTCAAATTGGGGCATGAAGATCGAATGGAAATTGACCAAGAATGGAGTCTTGAGGATTCTAGGATTGCTTTCAGGCAGTGGCAACATTACACACACAAGTGTGAAGGTGCCAGAGTATGATGTTTCTGGGGAATTTTGGCTAGAGCTCCCTGGTATAGAGTAGCGAATAGGAGACTACAAGGCCGTGAAGGTAGTTGGGGACAGATTCTGTTGTATTAAGAACCTTTAAATGTTTTTGAGTAGATAAGTGATGAGAGGAAGTTCTTTGTTTGAAGGATATGTGTAAATAGTGAATTAAAGCAGTATCTCCCACTTGAGTGATTTGAGTACTACTTTTTAAGACTGGTCATATCTCAATGTCACCTGTGTTGTTATTTACTTAATTTTCCTCAAATTCACATTTTAAGTAAAAAAGTTTAACTTCTTAAGCATTAGTATATACAAGATGGATTCTGTTGGCTAATTTTTCTAATATTTATTTAGTAAACCTTTTTTTTTCTATCTATAATCTAAAATAATCATGGGCATTCACTTGGGGAAATACGGTGTTGGAATAAGTTTTCAAAATTTAGTCTATAGCAACCGTTCACACTCTTAAAAATGATTTAGAACTCCAAAGAGTTTTGTTTATGTAGGTTGTAATTCATATTCAACTATTAGAAATTAAAATATTTTAATAATTCACTTAAACTTAGTAAATCCACTAAATCTTAATGTATGTAATAGAGTTTTATGAGAAATGCCTTTTATTTTACAAAATAAAAATAATTTAGTTTGAGGAATATTCTACCTTGCCTTATAGTTTTGCAAGTCTCTAATGCTGGGCATAAGTGAAAACGCTGGCATCTCCTATCACTTTCTGTATTTGTTACTGTGTATGTAGGATTTTTATTTTTGGTTGAACCATCTGAAGAAAATCCAGCCTCATACACATAGGTCATATAGGTGGTTGGGAAAGGTATTGAGTATTTTAATAGTCTTTACAGAAAATTGTGGATGACTGGGCGCCTGGGTGGCTCAGTCGGTTGAGCGGCTGCCTTCGGCTCGGGTCATGATCCCAGCGTCCAGGGATCGAGTTCCCACATTGGGCTTCTTGCTCAGCAGAGAGCCTGCTTCTCCCTCTCCCTCTGCCTGCCGCTCTACTTGTGCGCTCTCTCTCCTTCTGTCAGATAAATAAATAAAATCTCAAAAAAAAAAAAAATTGTGGATGACCTTAGATGCTCTACTAGGCTTTAAGTGGTAGTTTCTTAATTACAATGTGGAATCAAACCCTATTAGTTTTTTTATATTTTGTTATGTTAAAATCGTTTGTCTATTTTATTATTTTTTAAATTTATTTTAAAGATTTTTTTTTTAAAGATTTTATTTATTTATTTGAGTGAGAGAATGAGAGACAGAGAGCATGAGAGGGAGGAGGGTCAGAGGGAGAAGCAGACTCCCTGCCGAGCAGGGAGTCCGATGTGGGACTGGATCCCGGGACTCCAGGATCATGACCTGAGCCGAAGGCAGCCGCTTAACCGACTGAGCCACCCAGGCGCCCCTATTTTAAAGATTTTTATTTATTTATTTGACAGAGAGATAGCGAGAGCAGGAACACAAGCAGGGGGAGTGGGAGAGGGAGAAGCAGGCTTCCTGCCGAGCCGGGAGCCCGATGTGGGACTCCATCCCAGGACTCTGGGATCATGACCTGAGACGAAGGCAGACGCCTAACGACTGAGCCACCCAGGCGCCCTTGTTTGTCTATTTTAGAGTGGATCTAACACGCATGATATTGCAAACACCCTGAACTTTGGCAGTGGAAGTGAAGAAGAGGGAATGGATTCAAGATAAATTTAGGAAGTAAAATCACAAGGATTTGGTTACTTCCTAAATGAGGATTAGTGAGGCGTGCCTGGTTGGCTCAGTCGGTAAATCAGTCTGCTCTTGATTTCGGCTCAGGTCATGATCTCAGGGTTGTGAGATCGAGCCCTCAGGCTCCTCACTGAGCGTGGAGCCTGCATAAGATTCTGCCTCTGCACCCTCTCCCCGTCCCCGTGCTCTCTCTCTAAAAAAAATTAAGAAATAAATGAGGGTTAGTGAAGGTGGCTGTTTTAAAACACAGAAAGGAACAGATTTAGGAGGAAAAATAATGAGTTTTTAAAAAAGATTTTGTTTATTTTTTAAGTAATCTCCACACCCAATGTGGAGCTCAGACTCACAACCTTGAGATCAAGAGTTGCACACTCCATCTACTGAGCCAGCCAGGTGCCCCAAAGTAATGAGTTTTGACATGACTTCTTATATAACAAGGCACACAGTGTCTACCTGCTCTCTGCTCCCTACCCAGTCTCAGATGCTTCCGTGAATGTCTCATAGCTTTGATAGTGTACTTGAAACATAGTTCATATTCAGTAAATGTTTTTAAACCAAAGATACTTAGTTTTTATAATCACAGAAGAGGACCTGCTTTTGTGTATTTTTCTACCATAAATAGGTAGATATATATATATATATACACCCACAGATAAACCAATAAGTTACACTACCGATGAGAAATTACCAAGTTAACATGTAGATGCTTACCTTTCTGTACTAAATTCTGTATAATTACATAAATACATTGTAATTGCTGTGATGTTTTTGTAATCTCAGTTTTTTTCCATAGTATGTTCATATCTTGAAGAATTAAAGCATGTTGAAAAAATAAAGAACATTTTAGCTTTAAGAACCATATTTCTTATATTTTGTCAGAATTTTCATTTTCTGAATGATCCATTGAGTTTTTAATAGCTAAAAATACTGTACCTACTTTTAAAATGTAATACATTTTTACCATACGTATTACATATGCCTTACTTTACATATGTCTTACTGATACATACTACATAAACTTAGTTTTAAAATTTTGTATATTTCTTTTTCAGAGAATAACAGTTTAGAGGGTCAACATGTTTTCGAACTTGAGGAAGTTTGGAGTAAATCATAATAAAATACGCATCCTGCACATTAATGTAAGCTTTTCTTGTAAAATTAAATGTACTTCAGCAACTTCAGTTACTTTACTTCCCGAAAGGCCTAGTATACTCTTAAACTAGTATATCTTTATCTTCATCAGTTTTTCTTAATAGGGAGTGTGGGAGAAACTGTAATTAAGCAGCAGGCCTTATCACTAGTCTGAAATTCATTTTGCTACTTTAAAATTCCCTGTGCAGTGTTTTAAAGACTGTCCATTTGTATATTCCATTTTGAGGTCATTAGCACCCCAAGGAGTTACACAGGTTTTCTTTGGTGTTTTCATTGCTGATGCTTTTAGACTGCACACCTGTGACAGGTAGCTACTGTCTTGCCCTGGTCATTATGCCCTGGAAGTTTAAATAGTTTTGAGTCTCTACTCTTGAAATATTTTCTTAGGATAATAGTGTTTTATTTCCAAAAACTTGGTAACTAATGCACAGGGAATATAGAAGACACAGGCATGCATCCCAAGATATCATAAAAGGCAGATTGTGGCAGCCCAGAATTATTACATATACTAAGTGTAACGATTCTAAATGTATTGGCAGTCATTAAATGTGTATCTAGTGGTCTGGGGATAAATCGGGATGGGGAATATTCAACCTCTGTGTGGAAACACTGGGAGAAGATACCTCAGGAATTTTTAAGAATGCCAGTCCTAGTTCTCCCAACTTCCTACCCCTCAGATGTTTTTAAAGTTTTCCAGGTGATTCTAATGCGTAGCCAGCGTAGCCACTTTTATAAATTCTGAGTTCAGTGACCCCTACCATCTCTTAGCACCTGTAGAGGAGAATCAAGGAGTAGCCAGGGTAGGAGACCTCATTTAACTTTTCTGGCTCTCCGGAAACTTCAGGTCCTGATTTTCAAACTATAGCTATCAGAATCACCTGGAGGTTGGGGCACCTGAGTGGCACAGTTGGTTGAGCATCAGTCTCTTGGCTTCTGCTCAGGTCATGATCTCAAGAGTTGTGAGATTGAGCCCTACATCAGGCTCTGCACTCAGGGCAATCTGCTTAGGACTCTCTCCCCCTCCACGCAGCTCTCTCTCTCAAATAAATAAATCTTTAAAAAAAAAAAAAAAATCACCTAGAGGGCTTGTTGAACCACAGCTTGTTCAGTACTTGAAACTAATATAACACTATATTAATTATACTTCAGTTTAAAAAAAACCCCACAGATTGTCTGCCTCTCCCCAGAGTTTCTGATTCTCTTGTCTGAAGTAGGTCCAGATAATTTGTGTTCCCTCTGTTGGTAATGCAGCAGATCTTAGAGAACGGTCTTCTAAGAACATCTCAGAATAGCATGTCAGTATTAGTTTTATTTTTGTTTTTTCCTATAGTATAATTTTGGGTTGTCACTTTTTAAAGGAACTGGAGTTAATGAATGGGAACTATTTTGAGGAGATTGAAAGTATTTTCTCTGACAAAGCATAGTTCAAAGTATTCTAATAAGTCATGCTAAAATAAATAATATGTTTCTTTTTCTCCTCACTAGAATATGTGTTGCTCTAAAATAAAATCAAGTTTAAAAAGATTAAAGCCATATGTGCCTCTTGGAAGAAACTACAGCTCTCTACCAGGTACAAATTTTGATTCTTCTCATTGTACTTAAACTGCTTGTTTGCTTTCTCTCATTGGCAGACATTCCTTTATTAAGGGTCTCCATTTTGACCCTTTCCTTGAGATGATTATTAGGGGTTGGAGGTATTCTGATAGATGCCAGGAGGCAGTACTAGTAGGCCTGTATTCCTCATCTGCTGGCTGTCCAAATGAGCTAAACAAAGAGAACGGTTGCTGGCTTGAGTAGCTGGCTCAGAAGTTTAGACGGTTGTCTACTTGTAGAGTTGCTCTTGCTGTAAAATACTGTTTTTCTAGTCCGTTTCTGGTTTTTATACAAAAGTATTTCCTGTCAATAGAGGTTTGCCCAAATAATTCATTTTGAAGGCTCTTAAGAGTAGTTGGTTAAATATTTATCTGGGATAGTTTGCGTTAGGTAAAATGGCTATTAAAAGCTTGATGCTTAGGGCACCTGGGTGGCTCAGTCAGTTAAGCATCTGCCTTCAGCTCAGGTCATGATCCTGGGGTCCTGGGATTGAGCCCTGCTTCGGGCTCCCTGCTCAGTGGGGAGTCTACTTCTCCCTCTCCCTCTGCCCACTGCTCCCCCTGCTTGTGCTCTCTCTGTCAAATAAATAAAATCTTTAAAAAAAAAAAGCTTGGTGCTTGAAGAACTGAGGAATTCTGAATGTTCTTCCTTTGTTTGAAGTAAGCAAGCATATGGGAGACTCTTTGAAACTGGTTTCATTATGTGGCCATTCTCACTACCATCTTCGTCATGTGGGAATCGTGGAGTAAAAATACTGATAGGTTGTGTGACTTGTAATGGCATGTGAATTTAATGCCCTGCATTATTGATTTATATCTATATTTCTATATTTTGTCATGCAGATTTATCTGTAGCCATATTGATCATCTGTAAGTCTTAAAACTGCCATCAGGTTTTCAAAATACAGTAGAACTGTTCTTAATTTATTAGAGAAATTTTGCAAAACTGATTTAAATTGTAGGAAGGTATAGATTAAAATTATAAATGTAACTGCATTTTTGCTTTAATATTATTAATAAAATACATCGTAAGCACAGAGTAAATTATTATGGGCTTTTTGTATTCCAGAAATACTACTTGGCCTTTTAGAAGTATTAGATTATTATAGCTCCTGTTCAGTGATACCTCCTAGGCCATCTTTAAAGGTACTTTGTGTTTGGGATTCCTGAGGGAAGACAGATTTCATATTGTACGAAAATTTGTTATTTTCTGATATGAGGATCACTGTTCACTCTTTAAGCCTTGACAATGCAGGTTTACAGGACTGTGCATTTTATTTTTCTTTGATTTAAATGTGGCTGTGAGATTATTATGAACATTCTAATTCTACAATTCTATTTATTATGTCTATTACAAAATTATAGAAAGTGGCAAAGACGGGGGTAAATTTATATTTTTCTAAGGATATGATCTAGAAATTGATGTTTCAGAACTTTATCTTAGGGGTGCCTGGGTGGCTCAGTTGCTTGAGCGTCTGCCTTCAGCTCAGGTCATGATCCCGGGTCCTGAGATCGAGTCCTGCATCGGGCTCTCTGCTCAGTGGGAAGCCTGCTTCTCCCTCTGTCTCTGCCTGCTGCTCTGCCTATTTGTGCTCTCTCTGTCAAATAAATAAATAAAATCTTTAAAAAACAAAAACAGAGGGGCACCTGGGTGGCTCAGTCATTAAGCGTCTGCCTTTGGCTCAGGTCATGAGATCGAGCCCTGCATCGGGCTCCCTGGTCAGCGGGAAGCCTGCTTCTTCCTCTCCCACTCCCCCTGCTTGTGTTCCCTCTCTCCCTGTGTCTCTCTCTGTCAAATAAATAAATAAAATCTGTAAAAAAAACCCAAAAAAACCCCACAGTGTTCCCACTCCCTGTGTCTCTCTCTGTCAAATAAATAAATAAAATCGGAAAAAAAACAACAACCCCAAAAACCAGAAAAAAAAACCCAACCAGAAAACTTGATCTTACATCATCTATTGCCTTTTCTTTACAGATTGCAGGAAAGTAATTTTTAGGTAAATGAGTTTATATTTAGCTCGGATTTTTACTTTAATTGGAATTATGGTATTTGTTTAAAATTACTTTAACTTTTTTGATTTGCAAATTAAAGGAAGATTTCTTAAACTTTTAAATTGTAACCCTCTTTCCATTAGGTTTAGTTGGAAATGATATCAAATCTCTTCATTCCATCATCAGTCCTCCCATAGCTAAGTAAGTACTATCACTGATGCACTCTTTTCCATATGCTGCTGTAAAAAGTTAAGAGTTTCTGTCATGGACTCAATTTAGCATTGTTAATTCAGCTTTCTGCCCTAGCTCATTTTAAATAGATGTTGGTATGTATCTTAAAAGCTATTTTTTTCCTGAATTCAGTACTAAATGTTTTTAATGTAGCAACAGTACATAGAAATAAGTAAAAGATTCATAAGATTGTAGTTCGCCCTTTTGTTAGCTATTTTGTCAGAATAATGTGGTAGGGAAATGTTTTCTGTTTTTCTAGTTTTTATAACATAAAAATTATTGAAATACTAACCAGATTTGAAATTTGCAAAGCGTACATATTTTGGTTTTACATTTTTATTAATGTCCATCTTGTAATACGTGCTTTTTTTTTCTACTTTTTAAACAGAATCCGTAATATTGGAATTATGGCTCATATTGATGCAGGCAAAACTACCACCACAGAAAGAATATTGTACTATTCTGGATACACAAGATCACTAGGAGGTTAGAATGGATTCCTCCTCTCCCCAACCCCCATTAGCAAAAAGTATCATTGGAAAATATTTTGATTAAGAAGTCAACCTAGAGATCTTGAGTATGGCATGGAAGCACTGATGTCTAAACCACAACACAAAGATAAGGTAGTTGCAATACCCACTAAAGGGTCTTCTTAGGTTCAACTAAACATTCAGATTCACAGGACTATCTTGGGCAACAGTTCACCCTGGTCTACTCAGAAGGCAATTAGGACAGGAACCATAGCTTCCCAGCATACCAGCAATAGGTGTTTGTTTCTGCACTTCTTAAAACAGTCTGCATAGCTTCTGGGAGCTATCTTTGGCTACCCAAAAGTGATAGTTTACTTTAACAAGATTCACAGGAGCCACCCTGGCTTACAATCCTCATGTCCCTTAGGAATGAATACCTACCTCTTGTTATAACTCCGTGGGCTATCTTCCTGGTTTACCATAAAGGATATGCCATACCCCACTCAGGGAAGCCTAAAACTGTGTATCTCCTTCAGGTATTTACAGTTCACATAAAGCTCTTCCCAGTTCAGATATAGCTTACCAATCACAAATTATTTTTTCTATATAATGTGTTGCCTAGCAACATAGTTGACATACTGTGTTCTCTGGCTTCTAGAAGAAAAGAACCAGAAAGTTAACCAAAGGTCAGATTCTCATGCAGAAGAAAGGATTTTGTTAATCCAACCCACAGTAGTAGTAGTATTTACCTAAGTATTGATTTTTTAATTATAATATGTCAAAAACTGTGGTTCTTGACCAGTTGTGCACATTTGAATCCCCATGTAGTTTTTTTTTGTTTGTATTATTTGGTTTTTAAATGACAGTGCCCTAGCACTACTCTGGAAATTAAGATTCAGCAAGTATGTAGTGTGGCCTGGGTGTCTGTATTTTTGTATCATGTATTTTGAGAGTCTATATTTATCTCATACACATTTATGATTGTTGTGTTTCTCTGATGAATCCGCTTTTTTTTTTTTTTTATCATTATGAAGTGCCTTTATCTCTGGTAAAATAGTTTGTTTTGAAATTTGAGATTTCAAGGTCATGAGGTCCCTATTTTTTTTTTTTTT